CCTCCTACATGCCCCGTACAGGGATCTAGCCCACAACCTAGGTATGTGCCCTTACCAGGAATCGAAGCATGATATCCTAGTTCATAGGTCAAAGCTCAAGCAGGGCTTTAAATAAGCCATTAGTATTATGAGGAGGCTCAAATCAAAAAAAAAAAAAAAAAAAAAAAAAGAAGTTAAAGACTGAGAAGATATGTCTAGAAATGGGAAAAGTCAGTGGAATATAAGTATCCTATATAATAAAAGAGTAATACGCAAATCAACTGTACGGCAGAACCAAACAACCAATCAAAGCACGATATGCTGATGATATGTTAAGGCTTCTCAACTGCTCACTATGATGTGCACTGACCACCAGGGGACAGATCCTCCATCCAGTAGGGTAGCTTGCTACTGGGGTCCAGCCAATCATGACTGAATGAGATGAACCAGACACGCCTTGGAGCCCTCCTACGGTTCCTCCCCAGCCCAATTGTGCACCAGTGGGGTCCCTCAGCTTGGCCTGAGCCCTCTTGCAATCTGGGACCCCTCGGGGGATGTCAGAGAGCCAGTTTCAGCTGGATCCCGCAGGCCACTCCTCTTGGGAGGGAGCCAGATGCAGTGCTCATGGGTGGCAAGCACTGCTGTGGCAGCGGGAGCCTCTCCAGATTGGGACTGATTGGGTGTGAGCCCGTAGCATGCACACTGGGGCCGGGGGAGCGGGAGCAGCAAACAGGAGCTGCAGGTGGTGCTGCACTGCGGGTTTCACCCGGTTCTTGCAGACCACCCAGAGGGACCCACCTGTGCACAACTTCATGCACCAGGCTTCTAGTCTTCAAATATTTGAAAATCCACATACAGAAGACAGTATTAGAACCAGTGAAGATGTAACTTCTAGCTCAGTAAAATAAATAATTTTGTAAAAGCCAGAGTTGTCCAAAACCTTACTTTAGAAAGTATGAAACTATCAATCTTCTCTCCAGAAAAAAAATAATGCAAATGCATATAAGTTTGCTTTACATCTCCAAGGGTTAAAAATCTACTTTTAAATCTACTCATACCACCTCTAGAGCCATGTACCCCAGATTAAAACGAAAAGGTCAAGGATAAAGAGGCAAGTATATTTAATAATCTTTAGCAATTAATGCATGAGTTCACTTCTGCCCACTTGGACATGTTTTGCTTCTCTCACAGCCATGATCTCTGAGACTTGAAACCAGGGGAGCAGTGCTAGTCACTCCCAAGCTTAGCCCCTTATCCTGTCTCCAGGAACCTGAATCCTGGTTTCTTTCTTTTTCTCTACCTAAATAAAACTTAGTTTCCCTCTCAATAAATAAATCCTATCTAATAAAAAGGGAATTTGCCAATTGACCATCACTGCATCACAAAGATGGTTGCACCCACAGCTGAGGCCAAGTTCCCATAAGGAGCCTTAACCAGCAATCAGCAGGGACCTGAGGCTATGTCCACCCCCGCCCCCAGAGGGCTTGACAGGGAACCTCAGGCCGTGTCTCCCACCCGGTGGGGCTTGACAGAGGACCTCAAGGTGCGCTTCCTGTCCTGGTGCTGGGTTAGGGGACCTCAGGCCACGCTCCCCACCCAGCAGGGCTTGACAGGAGATCTCAGGCCGTGTCCCCCACCTGGTGGGGCTTCCCAGAGGACCTCAAGGCACAGCCCCTGCACCTGTCTGGGCTGGGGGACCTCAAGCCACACACCCCCATCCTGGCACAGGGCCAGGGGACCTGAGGCTACACCCCCTACCCAGCCGGGCTTGACAAGGGTGGGACTGGCCAGGTCTGGATCTAGCCCAATGCGAGGGGCCAGCCGGGTCTGGGTCTCACATGATTTTGAGGTGCATGTGGGTGGGTGGGGACTAGACTCTGGGTCCCATAGAGAGCCCCAGGCTGAGAGAAGGAAGGTTTTCATATACATTTTACTAATTTTCTTTCATCTCTGACACTTATTTAGAGAAAGGGCAAATTATTTCCTCTAATTAATCCCCTTTTAATGTGCACGAATTTCGTGCACCGGGTCACTAGTAAGTAAATAATCTTTAAAACTCATTACAACTTAAAAATTCTATTACCTAAAATAACTATTAACTCTATGCCTTTAATTTCTTCTGAGATCCACTATAATACATATTGCAATAAGAGTTTAAATATGACAGTAAAAAAAAGTCATTTGCCTAGCGACAATATAAACTATGCTTAAATTCATAGATAGTATGGCTTATTATTCAACCTTCAAAAGATATATGCCCAAGTTTAAAGATAAAAAATAAGATGCTAATGTACAACTCAATATCTAATATTTAATGCCTAAATTAGAAATTCCTTCCCCTGCTTTAAAACTTCTTAAACTCTCCCTTTTCATCCTTTGTTCCTGACTGTTAAGACTGACAGACGAACAAATAATGGACTAGAAGTTAGAACACTTAGGTTCTAATTCACTACCTTTACCATGAATTTAATTTTGTATTAGTCCATCTCCTTATCTTGCTCTATAAACTTTCATATACTTAAAAGGGCTTTTTATTTTATTTTTTATTTTTTACAATATATTTTTATTGATTTCAGAGAGGAAGAGATAAAAACATCAATAATAAAAAAGAATCATTGATTGGCTGCTCCCCACTGGGATTGGGGGATTGAGCCTACAACCCATGCATGTGCCTTGGCAGGAATCAAACCATGATCTCTTGGTTCCTAAGTCAATGCTCAACCACTAAACCATGCCAACTGGGCCTAAAAGGGTTCTTATTTATTTTTTTCAAAGGGTTTTTAAATGGTGAAGTGCTATGTCAATATAAATAACTCATGTATTATCAACAGCAAGAAAACAAAGCCATGTTAAAAGAAAAAGCAAGTGTATGTTCACATTTCAATTCCTAATTATAAAAAGCAACCTTTGAATCGAGTGTGTTTTAATGTATAATGTCCATCCATAAACGCTTTGAACATTCAGTGTTAAATTGTATTGAGAGGACATAGCTCAGACAGTTAAGAATTTTGGCAGCAAAGGAAAAACTTGAAGGTGCCAGTGGGCTACACATCTACAAGAGCTGGAGGGAAAGGTACATGATCACAAAATGGTCATACAAGTATTCCATGCTTGAAAAATCCGTTTTCTCTCAAACCACTAGAAATAAAGAGAACTAAAAAGTTACGAGTTTAGTAGGTCTTGAGCCTTTATTAGCAAGCGGTAAGTGCCACATTGCTGAAATTGCACCTCTCCTGCCAGAACAGCACTACACACACCATGTCTGCCCTCCAACTAGACTCCAGATACAGGCACAAGATGTTCTAGCAAATAACATGCAGCAAGAGCCAGCACACAAGCATGAGGGAATCCAGGCTCCAGGCATCTGATTTTTCTCCTTGGTCCTACTTGAAAATGGACACTGCTATGAAAAATTTATTATAGTAATGGGATAATGATCAAGGGCTAGCTAAATCATATGCCAACCAATGAAATGGAAAAGCAACGTTTACTATCAGCTCAACTATCTTATTTTATATTTAATTTTGGACAGACAGGTCATGATTACCTTAAATAGAGAACGGCTGAGTAACTTCAACTTATATTTATCACCTGAAGATGACTTCAAGCCATTGGGGGGGGGGGGGGGGGGGGGGGAGAGACGTGGCCCAGAAAATACTAGGCTGTATAAGTCAAATGAAAAAACAACAACAAAAAAACTAGGGTTTGGGAGGAAAGGGGTAAGGAAGAAAATGAGCTACTGACTTAATAAAAAGAGAACAAATAGCCGGGACCAGTTTGGCTCAGTGGATAAAGCGTCGGCCTGCGGACTGAAAGGTCCTGGGTTCGATTCCGGGCAAGGGCATGTACCTTGGTTGCGGGCACATCTCCAGTGGGGGGTGTGCAAGAGGCAGCTGATCGACGATTCTCTCTCATCGATGTTTCTAACACTCTATCCCTCTCTCTTCTTCTCTGTGAAAAATCAATATATTTAAAAGAGAGAAAGAGAGAGAGAGAGAGAGAGAGAGAGAGAGAGAGAGAGAGAGAGAGAGAGGGAGAGAGAGAGAGAGAAAACAAATAAATGGGACAGGGAGTGTGAGCCCCCTGAGATAGAATGAGGGGAAAATATTCCAAGGCTTTAAAGGGAGCTTCAGCAGTGGGGGCGAGCCTGTTAACTGTTTCAGTAGAAAAAGATAAACCATACAGGGAACCAGCATTCACGGTAGTCGGTAACCACAATGCCTGACCCAGGCATGGCTCTTATATGTTGTGAGCTTTGTTCCAGAGGCGCCCACCGATCAGAACCTTTACTCCTCACACCCCCCTGCAGCTCCGCACCGCCCCGAAGAGGCAGTTCCTGCGTCTTGACAGGTGAAGCCCCTGAGACCTGGCAATGCAAGGCCACCCAGCTGGTTCCAGGGTCTGAGCGCTCATCCATTAACTCAACTAACTGCCTGCAAGATCAAGATCCTACCAACTACTTTCGTATTTCCTGTGGCCGGGGACCACGGCTCTCTGGAATTCCTCAAAGGAGTTTGGGTCCAAAAGAGTGACCCTCGACTTGAGAGAAAAGTTCCTTCAATGGGGAATAGGAGGCTCTCCTCAGAACACGCACGTTTGGAACTCTGAAACACGCCTAGGAGAGACAGAGAGGGAGGCGGGTGGGCCAGGAAAGGAGGAAAAGTCCGAAAACGAGACCTAGGAGCCATCCTTCTCCCCTGAAAGACAAAGTAGAAAGCGGCCCTTCCTCCCCTCCACGAGGCGTGACTCAGGGACGCCCCCCCCTCCCCCCAGTTTGCAGTGTGTGTGTGTGTGTGTGTGTTTGGGGGTGGGGGGTAGGTTTGAGGGGTTCTCCTCCAGACACTCACACTTGACCCGGCCAGGCCTGGACGGATGCGTGGTTCTCAGAGAGGATTGGAGTGACAAGGCTCCCACACACACACACACACACACACACACACCCCGAGGCGCAGGGAGGGAAGCCTGGGGCCGGGTCTGGAGGCCCTCGGCCTAGGTGCCCGCGCCGTCGCCCCACACCTTACCCCGCTTGGCTGTTCTTCCGAGCCTGAGGGGCAGCCGTGCGCGGCGGCGGCCCGGTCTCGGCGGACTCCCACGCGGGGCAGGGGTGGGAGACGCGCGGCCTGTCCAGTCAGGGCCCCGGAGTTCGAGGTCCCAGGACGCCGGCGGTGCACGCGCCCCCGAGCCCGCCGGAGAGGAAGGGTCCGAGCGCGCCCCGCGAGCCGAGCCGAGCCGAGCAGCAGCCGCCACCGCGGGAGAGATCGCCGGCTGCTCCGTCCGCCCGCACCCGGCCCGGCCACTGCCCCGCTTCCCCCGCGCGAGCTTTGGCGGCGGAGCAGCACGGTGCGCGCCGATTGGCCCGCGGGGTGAGTGGCGTAAGGCGCCTCTCCTCGCCGATTGGCCGGGGCGGCGGTGCGTGCGAGGAGTAAACAAACCCCGCCCCCAGGCTTCCCTAAGAGAGGAGGGGGCCGGAGGTGCAGGGGCGGGGCCGCGAGGCGAAGGGATGCGATGCTCCAACCCCCTGGCCGCTCGGCGGAGCTTCCCAGTGGGTCCCCTGCGAAGACCCTGGCCTTGCGGCTCCCCATCCGCCTCCCGCGGGGGCTGCAGGCCTGAGGCCTAATGTTTGTAAACACGCCCTTCCTCAGGCTTGACTTTCCCATCCACCCCCATCCCCTAGGCCCTGAAGCTGGAAAACCCCATCCTTGCAGAAAGTTTTTAGGAAGAGGGTAAACAGCCTTTGATGAATCGCCCACGGGGAGAGCAGTGAGCAGGGGGGAATAGGGGGGAATGACTGTGAGGCCACGTGTGGGGGTGAGTGTAGGGCACCCTGTAATTATTCAGACAGTGGTTTAGAGACCATAGGGATCCTGAATAGGCAAGTAAGATCCAAACCAGGCCGAGTCTCTGTATCAAGTGGGAGCTGAAGATAAAATCGTGACACATCACCCCAAATACCTGTCTCTTTAATTCAATATTAAAACATTTGTCTATTAATGCTGTGTCTGTGTGAAAAATCATTCATGAGCTTACATTCTAGTGGAATGGAGAAGACAAGATGCAAAAGAAATAAGCAAATTACAAACTCTGTTACATGCTGATACGTGCTATAGGTAAAAATATATAAGCAGAGAAGGCAGAATGGCTTCTGTTAAATAGGGTGTTCAGAGAAGGAGCACAAAAGGTACCATTTAAGCAAATATTAAAAGGAGGTGAGGGAGGTTAGAGAGTGCCTTTGGCCCTTTCTCTGGGAAGGGGTGGAGAGACAATTCCTGCATCATTGGACATATATAAATTCCTAGGAGTCCAAGAATGCCAAATGCATCACTCCTCAGACTGATTCTAAAATGCAAAACCCCAATGAAGTGACTGATTACCTTGCATTGTTCAGTAACAAATCAATAGGATTTTTAAAAAATTATTTCGTTTCCACAGACATTTTGTTAAGGTTTCAAGGTAACAAATTCTTTTCACACACCTCCACCCTGAAGGAACTCAATCTAGCAGGGGAGATGGATTGTAGACCACCTCAACAAACAGTGCAAAGCATTGTAAACAACCATAATAGAAGTAGACAGCCCTTGAGCCAATAGGACTTGGGGGGGTTATTAAGGAGCTATAACTCTCTCAGAATCTCTTTGTCTATAAAGAAAATTCAGTACTATATTTAACAGTAAGGCTATGGCTATCAGGGATTCTCTGACCTCTTTATGAGTTTCTAAAGTGATATTCTAAAGATAATATTAAGTTGAACAATATAAAATTGCTAACATTTGGCAATTTTCATTTTCCTCAACTTAGTCTCTCATAGAGTTAACAAGGATTTTGCTATGTAATGCATGAAGTAAGTGTCCAAAAATGATAGCGATTATGATCATTTGATAATATTTCTTTTAAAAAATGATTTAAAAGTCAATGTCTTATAACACCTTTCAATTCTATGCACAAAGTAAAATGGGCAGTAAATGTTCCAAATTTTCCATTTTGATTTAGCTGTGTTTGATCTAGCTGTTTTCCAGTTTGATCTAGCTGTGAATTTCCATGACCTAATCAGAGTATGCTGTAAAAGACACTAAATGCTAGTTTCACAGCAGGCCAAGAAATTTAGAATAAGAAACAGCTTGGTTTTTGAAAGCTAAAAACTGAAAATTCTCCAGAACAGAATAAATTGTCAAGTTGCTTCAGGGAGGAAAATTCATGTAAATCAATTTTTCATTCCCACTCACAGTTCCAATTTAGCAATTTGTACAACAGTCAGCTTTCTCTCTTCCTTTTCATTTCCCCCTTAAGGGATCTTATTTCCTTTGAATAGAAAAATAAAGCTTCCATCATCTCCAGCGCCAGAGAGCAGATGTTTAAAACATGACAGAACACTTATTGATTCAGCAAACACTTATTGTATGCCAAGAACAGTGCAAGGCATTGGAAATACAAACATAAATGCCCAAAGCACTCCATTCATGGGTGGTGTTCTTTGTGCCTGGAACAATCTCCCAGGTCTCCCACAGCTCACCTACATGTGCCTTCACAAAAAGCTTAAACAACACTTTCTGCAGAAATGCTTACTCTGACTCTCCATCTCCAGCTCTTTTCCCATGAAATCCTGTTTTCTTTCTAACACTCATCAAACTTGCAACTACTCATTTGGTATCTGTATCCTGTTAAACTGTCAGTTCCTTGAGATCCGTAGCCATATCATCCAATTCACTATCCTCAGCGCTTAAGAGAAGTTCTGTACGTTTTTATTGAATGGATGAGAGTGCCACAGCCTAGCACGGTTGGAAAGAGGAGAGAGTCATCCTATATACGGTAATAAAATCCTAATATGCAAATCGGCTGAATGGCATGACGACCAGCAGAAGGATCGGTAGCTATGATGTGCACTTACCACCAGGGGGCCAGACGTTCAATGTAGGAGCAGCACCCATCCTGCAACTTGAGGCAGCAAACAGGGGGCAGGCCGGCCATCATGGATCTGGCTGGCGATCATGGATCTGGCCGATCCCAGGGATCAGGCCTAAACAGACAGACATCCCTCAAGGGTGCAGGCTGGGCTGAGGGACACCCCCCACCCACATGAATTTCATTCACTGGGCCTCTAGTAAATATATCAAGTCTCTACTTGTAAATATGCAGGCCACCAAAGAGCGGGCCATGGAAGAAGCAGATCTGTTATAGTTAAACCTGAGGAATTTCCACATGCAGCCCCTCTCCTGGTGCTTGGTGCTGCTCTCTGTAGGTGAAGCTGTAGGACTCCTGGACCTCTCAGACTTTAATGTCCACAGCAGTCACTTGGAGATCTTATTAAAGAGATCAGTAGGTCAGAGGTTGGGGGCAGGGCCTGCATTTCCAACAAGCTCCCAGCTGCTGCTGACGCTGCTTCACCACACTTTGAGTAACAAGGTCCTTAGTGTAGTTCCCCCCGCCCTTTTTTTTAATTGCACACATTTAGTTTTTAAATTAAATTTATTGGGGACACAGTGGTTCATAAAATTACATAGGCTTCGAGTATACAATTCCATAATACATCATCTGCATATTCTCCCTTCCCTCCAGCCTCCTTCCCCTCTGCTAACCACCATACTGTTGTCGGTGTCCATGTGTTTTTGTCTGTTTGTCTTGTTTGTTCATTTGTTGCTCTCACATATGAATGAAATTATATGATTAATGGTATCTTTTTATTATACAAGCAAAACTATCTGTAGTTATCTGGACAGTTGTATATATGACTTAAAGAAAAGCTTCCAGTTTTCATACTCAATCCATCCAATGACTGATGAAAGAAATAACACTTAAGAGAAAAACGTGTTAAGTCAAGGCTTGCCTTTCAGAGACAGCCCTGTTATGGGCAGTTTACTCACATGAATAGGGCAAAGTAGAATCAAAGCCTTGGAATTTCCTCAGCAAGGGACACGCCTTCTCCTCAGCTCATTTCTGGAATGACTTGGTTAGGGCAGTGAAAAGATTTCAGTCACCCTTAATAAAAGCAACCTCTTTTATTAATAGATAAAATAGTCTATATTTCCTAAAAATAGAAAGTAAATGTGAGGTGTATAGAATAATGAATAATGAATAAACCCCCATGTATTAGATTAAGAAATAAATATTGCCGAGACCGGTTTGGCTCAATGGATAGAGCATCGGCTTGGGGACTGAAGGGTCCCGGGTTCAATTCCAGTCAAGGGCATGTACCTTGGTTGCAGGCACATCCCCAGTAGGGGGTGTGCAAGAGGGAGCTGATCAATGACTCTCTCTCATCGATGTTTTTATCTCTCTATCTCTCTCCCTTCCTCTCTGAACAAAATCAATAAAAATATATTTTAAAAAAAAGAAATAAAATATTAACATCGCTGGAAACCCTTATGTTCCTCTCCAATGTGACCCTCTGTCTCTCCCCCCAAAAATGACCACGTCCTAAGTTATAATTTCCTTGATTTTCTTTACAATTTTAACACATATGTAGGTAACTTCAAGCAATATATTGCTTAGCTTTATATGTTTTTAACTACATATATTTGGGTTCAAACTTTATTATTCATCTGCAAATTATTATTATTATTTTTTGTGCTCAACATTTTATTTGAGAGAATTATCTGTCTTGAAGCATGATTATGGTGAGGATTTAAAAAAAAAATCCTTCACCTAATCACCAGGTAGTATCAGACCAACCCATATTGAGGGACATTCCATGCAATAACTGCCAGTATTCTTAAAACAATGTCAAGGTCCTAAAAGAAAGACTGAGGAACTGTCACAGATTGGAGAAGACTTAAGGAGACATGAAAATTAAGTGCAATGTGGGATCCTGATTGACTGCTGAACCGGAAAAAGGACCTTAATTGGAAAGCTAACAAAATTCCTACGAAGCCTATAGATTAGTTAGCACTATTGTATAAATGTAAATTTCCAGTTTTCATCATTGTTTTGTGGTGATATAGGATGTTAGTTAGGGGAAGCTGGGTGAAGGGAGGATTCTGTATACTATTTCCACAGCTTTTCTGTAAGTCCAAAATTATTTCAAAATAAAATATTTAAGAACTAAATACTGGGGAATCTCATTAAAACACATTCTGATTCAGAAGCTCTGGAATGAGGCCTGAAATTCGGCTTTTCTGAAAAGCACTCTGATGGCAGTAAGGATATTGGTTTCAATAATGTATTTAAGTACTTTCCCCCCTCCCATTGTATTGAGGTGAAATTGACATACAATAAACTAAGCATACTTAAAATTAAAATTAAAAAAAAACAACGATGAGTTTTGGCATATGTATATATCCATGAAACTATCGCCACAGTCAAGATCATTAATTTACTGTTG